GACTTACGTTAGACAGTGTGCTTCTCCTGCAGCCTGTCTTAAAGCTCAGTAGTGCACTTGATGCCGAGTGACTTCTGATGTGTCTTGAGAGTTTGATTGTCAATCTGAACAGAAGATTATTGCTGTCTGTAGAGCAGAGTAGGCATTGGAATCCCAACCCTCCAACTTCATCTGCCTTTTCCTTTTTTCTGAAGCATTTAAGACCTTTTGATATGCTATGCCATCTACCTACTTGTTACGTTTATTGGTTATTGTCTGTCTTCTTGCACTAGGAACTCGGCTTCATAAGGGCAGAGATTTTTTTTTTTCATTTTGTTCACGAATCTATCCCTAGCATATAGAACAAAACCTGGCACAAAGTAGGTATTCAATAAGTATTTTTTGACTGAATGAGTGAACAAATGTTTGTTTAGTGTTTGTTCAATTCCAGGTATAAGGTATGGTGAGAAGAAGTGACAGAATTCCTGCCTTCCTATTTTTTAGAGCCTAGAATAATATCCAGTCGCTTTGGTGGTATAGTGCCTAAGGCATTTGACTGCTAACCAGAAGGCTGGTGGTTCAAACCCACCAGCCATTCCTCCGAAGGAAGATGGGCAATCTACTTCTGTAGTGATACCGCCTCAGAAACCCAAGGGGAGGGATTGCTGTGAGTCAGAATTGACTTGATGGCTGTGAGTTGTTCTTTTTTTTTTTTTTTTTTAGAATAATAGCCAGTAGTGAGACTGGCCGTCTACAGAGAGCCTTAAATAGGCTTCTCAAATCATATCAGAAAAGATGGCTGCAAAAAGGACTTGGAGGCAGCATCGTGTATTTCAGGATGGTTGGGTTTAGGAATAACAATACAAAAGAAAGCCAAAAACCAGTTGCTTTGAATCAATACTGACTCATGGTGACCCCGTATGCGTATGCTCTGTATGTTTTTCAGTGGCTGATTTTTTGTAGATTGCCAGGCCTTTATTCCTAGGTACCTCTGGGTGGACTTGGACACCCACCTTTCAGTTATTAGGCAAGTGTGTTAACCATCTGTTCTACCCAGGCACCCTGTATAAAAGAAATCTGGAGTTTAATCAATTATATTTACACACATGAAAGAAGACTATATCAATAAAGAGGTTCATATTTATATATAGATTGGGATTGTCCAAATAGAAGAATCTACAAAACAGAAGTCATTTACAAAGTAGTGTAAGGGAGAGAGTGCTTTGAAGAGTCAAAACAAGTACAGTGCTTAGTCCTATAGGTAGGTGTATTTCTTGTGTGGATAAGAGTACCTCAAGTGGTAGTATCTGGGGAAAAAGGTCAAGTAATTCTCTTTTATCTGATTCTTCATTTATCTAACCATCTTCTGTTGGTAATAATTTGGAGTCCTTTACAAAAATCAAGGAGTCTTTGTGGCACAGGAATTAAGTGCTCAGCTGCTATCTGAAAGGTCAGCAGTTTGAACCCACCAGCCTGTCTAATGGAGAAGAATGGGGCAATCTGTTTTCATAAAGATACAGCCTTGGGAACCTTATGAGACACTTCTACTCTGACATATAGCATCTCTATGAGTCAGAATCAAACAGACAACAATGAGTTTAGTTTATTTTCAGAATTACCGAAAAAGTACTACCTGCTGACACAATTTCAGTTTTCTTGACATTGGAATACCTTTGCATTCCAGTTCAGAGATTTCTCTTGTGAGTTTGGTTATTCTGAGTCGCTCTCCCAGAGCCTGATCAAATCCAGGTGCACTATTGATAAAAAACAAACCAAACTCACTGCTGTGGAGTCAGATCCGACTCGTAGCGACCCCTCCTTGGGTTTCTGAGACAGTATCACTACGGAAGTAGATTGCCCACCTTCCTTCTAAGGAGTGGCTGGTGGGTTTAAACAACCAGCCTTCTGGTTAGCAGTCAAATGCCTTAGGCACTATGCTACCAGAGAGCCTGTAATGGACGTGACCAGACACTGCCAAAGCCGTAACTGAGGTTCCAACAAACCCTATATTGTCATTCTTTTCTAAAATTCTTGACATTTACTTATCTCTGCCTTAAGGTTAATATTTAGTAAGGTACATAATGTAAAGATTTAACACTATAGTGCTCAAAGTAACCTTAAGCAAAATTACTGCTAATATAGATCACAATGAAGCCTGGAAGGAGCTCACTCCCAGCCTCAACTCTCGGCCAAACAAAAGATGGCCTAAAGGTGAACATTAACAGCAGGGAGGTATGCACTCCCATTTAACAGGAACAAAATAAAATAAAATAGAACACAATGTTAAAGCAATATGATTTGATTAATAAAAGACATTAAAATAGTTTTAATTTTGTTTACAAGCCTTTCTGTCTATGTAGGAAGCATTGCAGTCTTAGAAATTTTAGCAAATGAGAATCATCATTTGGTCCAGTGTAAATGCCAGTTAGCTTGAAGGTAATAATTGAAAATAATAATTCAGTGTTCCTTTTTAATGTGTAGCTAGCTAAATAAATGGAAAGGATGTGCAGCCGTGTGCAAGTGGGGTTTTATGTAATTTTAAGATGTCGTAGCTCATCAAATAAATCTCACATATTTTCACATATCTTCACATCTCCATGCCTTTGCTTGTGCTGTTTATTTTTCCTGGAATGCTGGTCCTTTCATTGTTAATGCTTGCAAATTCCTTGTTGTCCTCCAAAATCCAGTTGGAGTCACCTTTTCTTTCTGGCTTTTCTTGGCACTGTCTTCCTGCCACGAGTTCTCTCCCTTAAGGTTAATTGATTAATTGCTTCCTCCTCTGTGTTCCCCAGCATTTATCACAGGGTGTGCTTGTTATTTATTAACCTGCCTCCGAGTTTCAAGGGCATCTTCATCATCTTTGTTTCCCTAGTGACTGCTACTTGTCTCATAATAAGTGCTCAATAAATGGTTATTGAGTTTGAGTATTAGGCTGTTTTCATATTAGTTAGTCACTGAGTCATCCAGCAAATATTCATTAAGGGCTTTTCATATGCAAAGTACTATGCTAAGTGTTGTAAACATATTGAAAAAAATCAGATACAAAAGTTCTTAAAAATCTGAAGTATTGTGTAATGAGGGAAAATACATCATCATGCATAAAAGTAGCCATAGTACATGGTTAAAAACCAATGGCCACGTAGTCAGTTCTGACTCATGGCCAACCCACCTGTGTTAGAGTAAACCTATGCTCCAATAGGGTTCTCAATGGCCTATTTTTCAGAAGTAGGTCACCAGGCCTTTTTTTTTTTTTGCCAGGTAACGCTAGATGGACTGGAAATTCTAACCTTCTCATTAACAGCTGAACACATTAACTGTTTGCAACACCCAAAGACTCTTTGACACATGGTAGAATGAGTTAATTTCCAAAAATAAACACACACACATAAATATAGAAGAGAGAGAGTTTATATATTATATATATGGTTTATAAATGAAGAGGATGTGAAACACTTACTAATGAAGATCAAAGATGGCAGCCTTCAGTATGGATTATACCTCAAGATCAAGAAAACAAAAATCCTTACAACTGGGTCAATAAGGAGAAAAGATTGAAGTTGTCAAGGATTTCATTTTACCTGGATCCACAATCAACATCCATGGAAGCAGCAGTCAGGAAGTCAAAGGACATATTGCATTGGGCAAATCTGCTGCCGAAGACCACTTCAGAGTGTCGGAAAACAAAGTTTGAGGACTAAGATAACGCCTGTCCTAAGTCATGGTATTTTCATTGCCTCACATGCATACAACAGCTGGAAGACAGAAGAAGAATTGATGCATTTGAATTATAGCGTTAGCAAAGAATACCGAGTATACCGTGGACTGCCAGAAGAATGAAATAAATCTTTCTGGGAAGAAATACAGCCAGAATGCTCTTTAGAAGCAAGGATGTTGTTGTTGTTGTTATTTGCCGTCAAGTCGGACCCAAGTCATAGCGACCCCTCCTTGGGTTTCCGAGGCAGTATCACTATGGAAGTAGATTGTCCAACCTTCCTTTCAAGGAGTGGCTGGTGGGTTTGAACTGCCAGCCTCCTGGTTAGCAGTCAAGTGCCTTAGGCACTATGCTACCTGAGCTCCTAGAAGCAAGGATGGAGAGACTTTATCTCATTTAATGTGGACACGTTATCAGGAGGGACTGGTACCTGGAGAAGGACATCATGCTTAGTAAAGTAGAGAGTCAATGAAAATGGGGACGTTTTCAGTGAGGTGGATTGACACGATGGCTGCAACGATGGGCTCAAACATAGCAACAATTGTGAGAATGGTGAAGGACCAGACAATGTTTTGTTCTGTTGTGCATAGGATCACTATGAGTTGAAACCGATTTGATGGCACCTAACACCACCACCAAGATCTTTCTGTAGTTTATAAATGGCAGTCATAACTTCCTGCAAGGGCTCAAGAATATCTTCTTGTTGGCTGAGGAATTATTTTTCCTTGTTTAAATAGCTAAAAAGTTGTGATTCAAAACAGTGATTCTTTTGTTGTCCCATAAGTTGGGTTAAATTTTGCCCTAGATCTAAAAATATACCTTTCTTCTTCATTTTAACTTGGAATACGGTTTGAAACTGTTGGATAAAAGCACTGCTCAAGAGTTACGCTGCTACTTGCCAAAAAGTTAACATTTAAAATAGAAAGTTTCCTTTGGTGCCTTAAGGTACGAATTTTATGCATGCTCTACTTTTCAGAAGACATCCTAAGTGATAAATCCATTACATGTTGCTGCAAGTTTATATCTAATTATCATTAGGAAATTGGCTGTAGAAAGCTTTTGACAAAAGTTAACAATACATTATTTTACTGAAAGAAATACTTCAAACCATATTTTATCTGGGATATTTTTAAATGTGGTCATCATAGTTTGGATACTTAGCATTAATTGTATTTAAGCCAGTAGGATATTTTTTTAATATGGTAAATTTACCATTTCTACATCAAGGCATCAGATGGAGATGTTCGTAGTTGGAATAATCACAGATTTTAACTGAAGGTCACCCAGAACTTTTTCTGTTTTCATTTAGACTTGGATTATCACTTGCATTTATCTCCAACTGCTCCTATTTAATCCTCTCGTCAAAACTAAAGGGATCTGCGGGAGTCGTGTGACTGATGATGTGAAAGACGTCACAAAATTGGTAAGTAGGGATTGCTTTCAGCAGTTGTGACTCTTTTCCTTGTGTTTGTTGTTGATAAAAGTATTTTGGGTCCCCCTGCAAAAAAAAAAAAAAATTAGTTTTTGTATAAGAAAGAAAAGGGATCATTGATTTATTCTAAAGGGTTATTCTAAAGAGTTATACCTGGAGAGATACTTCAGGTCATGATGAACTTACTGGTGAAACTGGCCCATTGTACACACGCCACTGCAGTTACTTTGTTTCGTCATTGGACCATTCCTTTCAGTAACTTTTCTTCTCAGTTACTGTTCTCTCACAATCGTAACAACAGACAGAAAGGTGAGCTTCTAGCAGGGTCTTCCAACAGCATGAAGACTCTGTCACGTGTGGACTGGTGTTTGTTCCCGGTGCATAGTTGGAGGAGCAGTTTGATGCCCAAATATTGAATGGATTTCTCTCCCACATTTGCCACATTGTAACACTTCCATCAACAAAAGTAATTGGTCACTGCCAGCTTCTGATGTGCTTCTCACCATGCTGGTCTTTAGATTGAAAACTCAGAGAGGACAAAATACATCTGGAAGGCATTTTTTCCAACTCACAAGAATAAGTATTTTCATGCTCATTTACACTATAGTGTGTGATTTCAGGATGCACAAAGTTTGAGAGCATTTTTTCTCAGTTCTTGGTTCAAAATAGCCAGTCAAGTTCTACTCAGTTATTTGAGTATTGCATAAGAGAATAGAGGTGATATGAGAGTAGGGAAGAAATGAAGGTTGCAATTTAGACAAAGAGAAAAGTATATTTGTTAGGATAGTAGTTTATGCAGTAGAAGGGCTCTATTTTCCTTGCTCTTAATGTGTATTTCCTGATTTTTTTTTTTTTTTTTTGGTGGCAGGGGAGCTTCAAATAAAAAGCTGAACTTTAAAACAGAATTTTAATGGTATGGTCATTGTCTGGTTTAGCCTTAAATCACAATTAGAAATGCACGCACCTAAACACACACACCCCTTGATGATTTATGCAGACTCCTTTGCAAGAAAAACATTATTTGATGTAGCACCTGAAGATGTGCCAACATGTTTTATTGGGGGAGATGATGACCAAAGTAATACAACAACAGCTGCCTACTATATGCCTAGCTAGAGGTTGGATATAGGGATGGAAGAAGGAGAAAGTATTTTTTTCAAATTATAGATACTGGTCTTTTCCCTCAAATTTCTTCTTAGGTAGTGACCCCCGAAGCAATACTAAAAAGACAATGTGTTGTATACGAAACTTTCTGTATATTGGTAGAATACGTTGAATGGATGAAAAAAATAAGTGCTCCAGTTGTTTTGAAATATTGTTGAATATCTCAATCATTTGTGATGCTCATAAAAATTACAGGAGCATGTAAAAATTACAGGAACATGCAAAAATTACAGCCTGGGCTCCACTCCAAGAAACTGATTTTACAGGTATAAGGAGGAGCTACATTTTTAACAAATTTCCAGAATAATGTTTAAGAAACATTGCTGTAGATGACCTATCAAAGTCTAGAGGTCAAAAATGTCTAGATCTGAATTTAATCTCAATTCTTATTATAACTGGTTGTATCTATGTTGTATGGATTTATAAGGATGTCAGTTAACACAGTCTTCAGTGTTTCCTTAAAGTAGCTCATGACTGAGAAAAGGTGCTCATGTAACAGAGGGAGCTAGGAATGAGTAGGGGAAGGCCTGCAGTGGCCCCTGGGACCAAATTTTAAATATATGGTCAGTGAATCATAGTTGGAACATGATGGTGTATGTGACCACTGACCAAGCATATCCAAGATTAACATGGTATGTAAGAAAAATTCCTTATACATGTTATCATTTACTCCATATTTGAGACATATGACTTAATAAGCACCACTTCTTTTCAAATGTCAAACTGATCATTTCAAGTGGTATAAGTAGGTATAAGCACCTTCTAAGACTTTCTAGTTGTGTCTTTAACTTTCTACTTATTATCAATCTGCTACCTGTCAGTTAATACAACAAGAAATAGCAAGAAGCATTAATAACAGGGGAAAGAAGAGATGCCTAGAAAGAAATACTTACTAATAATGGCGCTGGAATATCATTATTCACTCTTATGGAAAATGTCAAATAATTAAACTGAAGACAGGTATTTATTTATTTATTTTTCAACCCCTTCCAGCTACTGACTTGGGGAGGAACAATTTAATTTCAACAGCTGGTGTTGTGAAATTAGTGTATTTTTTTGGATTATAATTTTTAATAAGCTACTTGAAAAAAATTCAAATTAATGAAAAATAGGACCCAGAAGATCACTTCTAGTTGAATAAATAAAGACCTAGATAATTCACACTTGACTGCTAACCAGAATGCTGGTGGTTCAAACCCACCAGGCACTCCACGGAAGGAAGGTTGGGCAATCTACCTCTGTAGTGATACCGCCTCCCGCCTCGGAAACCCAAGGAGGGGTCACTATGAGTCAGGTCTGACTCGACGGCCACATAACAACAACAACAACATTTCCTAGGTTAAGAAATACAAAAGTATAAAATAATCCTTGATCCACAGCATTTGTAATCGAGTTGGGGGGTTAGACCCTCTCCATAGAGAAATGAATCCATATTACTAAAACTACAACAACAACACATGAATGGGACAATTAAAAAGATGCCATAGTAAAATAAGACTTAACCTGTGCTAATAGATTGGTTAAGTGGGTAAGTTTTGGACTCTGGCAGAGCTGAGTTGAAATCCCAGGTCTTTGACTTTGGATAAGTAACAACGTTTTTAAATATCACTTCTTCCTTCACAATTTTGTAGTATAGACAAATGCATGTATAAATATTTACCACAGTTATTGTCATATATCTTTCTGTGCCTCAGTATACCGGGATACCAGTATAATAGAGAAATTAATAGTACTCATAAAGTGATTGTGAAGATTAAATGAGTTAATTGATCAGTACCTGGCATATGGTAAATCAACAAAGAGTCTTACTGCTGTTGAGTTGATTCCGATTCATAGTGATCCTGTAGAACAGAGTAGAACAGCCTATAGGCATCTCGAGGCTGAAAGTTTTTATGGAGGCAGACTGCCACATCTTTCTTCCACAGAGCAGCTGGTAAACTGCTGACCTTTTGTTTAACAGCCAAGTAAGTGCTTTAACCACTGTACTACCAGGGCTCCTTGGCACATCGTAAGTGCTTGCTAAATATTAGCTATTAGTAGTAGTTGTGGCATTAGGAGTTCCTTGGTGATGCAAACAGTTGAGTGCTTGACAGCTAGCTGATTGGTGGGTTCAAACCCACCCAGAGGCACGTAGTGAGTCAGGCCTGGAGATCTGCTTATGAAAGGTCACCACTTTGAGAACCCTATGAAGCAGTTCTACTCTGCACAGGTGGTCACCACAAGTTGAAATCAACTCAACAGCCACTAACAACAATAACAAATGTAGTGCCTTTTATAGGGTTCTTCCATGTTGGAGATAGAAGGGAATTGAGAGACAATTTACAAGAGGTTTCATAAATAAGGAAATTGAAGCTCAAGAGTTGTTAAACCAGCTCCAGGCCTCTTTATCAGTGTGTTGTCCTCTGGAACTTGATTTACGAACTGTGTTCTAGAACCCCTAAGGCCCTATGCTTTTATGTATCTGGGTTTCCAAATAAAACTTGGTTTGGAAAAAAGAAATTAGTTGATGAAAAAATGTTTGGAAGACTCTGCTATAAGCTAGTGTTTTCCTCACGAGAACCACCTGACTGGGATCTTTAGGGTGCTTATCAAAAGTACAGAAGTTTAGCCCCCTACTGAAGAAACATAGAATCCCTACTAGTGGAGGTGAGGAATGGGAGTCTAAGTGTTTTTGACCAGCATCTCAGGTAACTGTTGTTGTTGTTGTTGTTATGTGCCCTTGAGTCGACCCGACTCATAATGACTCCTCCTTGGGTTTCCAAGGCAGTGTCACTACGGAAGTAGATTGCCCCATCTTCCTTCCAAGATTCAGGTGACAGGCATTTAAATAAAAGTACCAGGACTTCTGTATAGGCCATAGTGGTAATAATGCTGTTTTTGTTTGTTTGTTTGTTTGTTTTCATGCTCAACAGAAGCCAAGTGTTTCTATCCTTGGCCTGTTATGAGGTGCCACCCAGTTGATTTGGACTCATAATGACCCCATGTACCAAGTAGAACTGCCTTATAGGGTTTTGTAAGCTTTATTCTTAATGGGAGTGGGTCTCCAGCGCTTTGCTCCCTTGGAGCTAGGTAGGTTCAAACTGCCAACCTTTTGGCCAGCAACCAAGTGCTTAAGCATTTTGCTGCCAGGACTTCTTATCCTTGGGCTCAAACTCCTTAATTTCTCTAATTCAGACTGTAATGGGAGAGACTTTTGAGTTTTATGGATAAAGGTAAATCACAGGCTTTCTGTAAAGAATGGTAGGGCAGGAATCCTGGCTTGTTGGAATTCTAGCTTCACTTTTACCAAGCTTTCTGACCTTGGACAAAGCACTGAACCCTTACGGAATCGATTTCATGATGTGTAAAATGAGAACCCAGATCTTTTCAAATGGAACCCCAAATAAATTGGACCTACATATACCTTCTATGCCTTTCTGAAGAGAGGGTGCATAGCTTTCTTTGCTTCTCAGGTCTGTAACCCTTCAAAGAAGATATGAACTACTAAGTTAGAGAACTTTGAGGACCCTTTTCAGCACTGATATTCTTTTATTCCATAATGATATTGTTTCATGTTTGTACCTCCTGGAATAATTCAGTAATGCTTTGACTAATGATTATTTTGAATGAGAAGACTTCTCTTGGCAAGCATGCACTTTATTAAGGAAAAGAAATTTACCTAACAATACTTTTATGCCTGTGCTCACAATAATTTCTTCAACTCAGATTCCTTTGCAGTCTCTAGCCTCCACTGGTTCACCTTTATATTAAGTAGCAACGTACTCTGTGCCCACAAACCTTCAGTTTGTTTGTTCGGGATGATTCTCATGTCACAGAAGCACATAATT